ATACATAGTTTTACATACATACATACCCGCACGCACTCACGCACGCACGCACGCACGCACACACACACACGCACGCACGCACACACACACACACACTCACACACACACACACACAGACGCACACACACGCACAGACGCACACACACGCGCGCGCGCACGCGTATATCGTTGCTACGCATCGTCGTGAACAAAACCCTATCTCACTAACTCGTCGCGTGCGAATAGTTGATCGAGTTTATTCGATTCAACATTCACTTTTAATACTTTTTTATGTAAAAAAATCGATTGGGTTGTTTGACTTTTTACTGATTTTACTAAAAAACGATCGTCAGTCGAATCTATAAGCAGAAATGATATGAAAAATATATTATTATATATTAATATAAATATTAATATAAAAGAATGAACTTGCGAGTTTGTAGCATCAATGTACTCTACTAGTGTACGCTGTAGTCAGAGCATATTGTTACTTGAATCCAATCAGCAAAGCCAAAACCTTAATTAATCATTCTCTTGCACACTTACGTGAACGCGATTTCGGTCTAACGAAGTATATGAGAAACACTGTGAGGTGGTGAAACACGTGGAACGATAGACGGGTGAACGGGCGTTCTTTAGTAACCAGCGCGTTGGCAACACTGCCCCGAACCCCGCTCGAAACTCAGCTAAGGTAAAAGCTAAATCGATCTACCTGCTTAAACACTTATGCGAACGGATAAAACAGTCGCGATGATTCCAGTAAGGTTGGCCAGTAGAGACGTCTCTAGCGTCCACGCGAAGGCAACACCGCCCGGAAAGCGGCGCGGAACTGACTGCTCTTCGCAGCATATATGAAGAAGTTCATGCAAGAGTTTGAGTACGCCAGCAGGTAGCCGAGGCCTCGCGCCACGCCGACCGTGTCGTGATAGACGTCGGCAACGCTCAGCAGCATCATGATGAAATACGGAGCCCAGCAAACGAAGAAAGCGACGACGACGATGCCAAACGTCTTGGCAAGCTTCAGATGCTTGGCGAGCTCGGCAGAGAAGGATTTTCCGGTCGCTCCTGCCTCCTGCGAACCGCTGCTGCTCGGTTCCTGGTGGATCTGCTGCTGGTGGTGCTTGGCAATCATCATTATGTAAGCGTAGATGGAGATGATGGAGACGCCACACGTACCAATGACTAGCGAGCTACAGATGAGAGATGTTCTACTCGTGACAGTGTCATACATGCACTGTTGATCCGGCTGCCAGCGGTTGCCAATGATAGTCATCACGCTTGCAAAGAAGGCAAAGCTTCAATCAAAGACTACCATTACTAAGATAACGCGCGGTGTGACGATCTGGTAGTAGTGTAGCGGTCGCGATATTGCAATGTACCTGGCTACGTTGTGGGCGATGAGAAAGTTTTCTTATGCGTATCCCGAGGGCGTAACGACAGCGCAATGTCCAAGACATATGATCTTTGGCGGAAATTCGATCATAAAGGCCATTGGTGCGATAAAGACTTCTCGGACGCACATGATGAAATCAGCGACAGCCAAGTTTGCGATCAGCTTGTGTGTCGGCGTCTGCAGGTGTGATGTCCGTGTCACAGCCAAGATGACGAAAAGATGAGCAAATATGCTGATAATGTTGAGAGGAATCAGCAGGCAAGCGATCCACGCCTGAATCGCTTTAACCGTTCCCTGTTCAACGTCCGACTCCATGCAGCCGATCCAGCTCCCATTCTTGGACACGGACCCGGAGATGTTGCGCAGTGAACCATTAGCGGTCGCCATGATGCAGAAATAAGTCTCACCACACCAGCTCCGTAACACTAATGGCGTGCCTCTGCCGTTTCGCATAAATTTTATGTATTTTATACGTAATAATGTCTCCCCTCTCCCTCTCAGCAATTCTATTTTTGAACTCTAATTTTATTTCGTAGCGTTGTCACGAAACTATGCTACATAATTAAATATACATAATTGATGATATTACATCGTTTAGCCCCTAGATTCTCCACAGAAACGCGTCCTTCGTTCTCCCGAATCATTTAACTAGCGTAATGCGGGGTATTGTTGTACCTACTTACTTGGGCGTACCGGATAAAGATATCAGTCGCACTGCCCCATCTAATGAAAGGGACATTTGCAGCTGGCGCGTGCACAGCCTAGACTGTCCCTAGCTGTCAACCCTCCGCCACCAGAAAGCAATGCAGAATCTTTGCAATAGTCTTCACTAATATGAAACCTGGTGGCAAGCTATGCGATATAAACATTTTCCTCATTTAAGTAAGCTTCACAACATGAATACTATGCAAGTTTGATACATTACTGCGCCAATTGATTTTGCGCTAACGAAGTATTCGCAAAACTCTCTGAGAAGATTTTAAACCATATTTAACGGAACATCACACATTCTTTTATGTCCAACGCGCTGGCAACACTGCCCCGAACCCCGCCCGAAATTCGGCTAACGTGAAAACTAAATCGATCTACCTGCTTAAACACTTAATCGAACGGATGAAACAGTCGCGATGATTCCAGTAAGGTTGGACAGTAGCCACGTCTCTAGTGTCCACGTGAGAGCAACACCACCCGGAAGGCGGCGCGGAACTGACTGCTCTTTGAAGCATATATAAAAACGTTCATGAAAGAGTTGGAGTGTGCCATCATATAGCCGAAGCCCGTCGCCACGCCGAGTGTGTCGTGGTAGACGTCGGCGACGCTCAACAGCATCAGGAAGAGGTACGGAGTCCAGCAGACGACGAAGGCGCCGACGATGATGCCAAACGTCTTGGCAAGCTTCAGATGATTGGCGAGCTCAGCAGAGAAGGATTTTCCGCACGCTCCTGCCTCCTGCGAACCGCTGCTGCTCGGTTACTGGTGGATCTGCCGCTGGTGGTGCTTGGTAATCATCATTATGTAAGCGTAGATGGAGACGAGGGCGGTGCCACACGTCATAATAAGTACCGAGATTAAGAAGACAGATATTCTACTCGAAACGATGTCATAGATGCATGGTTGATCCGGCTGCCAGCGGTTAACAATGAGACTTAACACGCTTACGAAGACGGCAAAGCTCCAAGCCAGGACTACCATTAACAAGATAACGCGCGGTGTGACGATCTGGTAGTAGTGTAGCGGTCGCGATATTGCAATGTACCTGTCTATGTTGATGGCAATGAGAGAGTTTGTTGATGCAAGGGCCGAGAGCGTAACCACAACGCAATGTCCAAGGCATATGATCTTTGGCGGGAACTCGATTAGAAAGGTTATTGGTGCGATGAAGACTCCTCGGACGCCCATAATGAAATCAGCGACAGCCAAGTTTGCGATCAGCTTATGTGCCGGCTCCTGCAGGTGTGATGTCCGTGTCACAGCCAAGATGACGAGAAGATTAGCAAATATGCTGATCAGGTTGAGAGGAATCAGCAGGTAAGCGATCCACGCCTGAATCGCTTTAACCGTTCCCTGTTCAATATCCGACTCCATGCAGCCGATCCAGCTCCCATTCTCGGACACGGACCCGGAGATGTTGCACAGTGAACCATTTGCTGTCGCCATGATGCAGAAATGAATCTCACCACGCCAGCTTTGTATCACTAATGGCATGCCTCTGCCGCTTCGCATTACAGTTATGCATTTTATACGTAATAATGTCGACGTCTCGCCGCCTCTCCCTCTCAGTAATTCTATTTCTGAACATCCACAGAAAGCTCCGTAACACTAATCGCATGCCTGTGTGTATGTATGTGTTGTGCTTTTCTC